GCAGTCATTCCCTTGTTGGAGGATGTTAAAGACTTATCCTTATACTCCTTGTAGAGTGTGTGTGGCCTAGGTGGAGCCAGCTTCTCTTAGGAGATGACTAGGGCTGGTTCCTCCTGCAAAAGGTCTATTCCTTCTCGATTGCTTGATGTGAATGGGTGGGGTCTACAATGGTTCTATTTCCAATCACTTTTCTGAGTATTCAAGTTCAGGGGACAAGGAGAGGGAGGAATTAAAGGGATGAAAAGTAAGAAGCTTCTTATTGCTGGAGGAGAAAGAAATTTTATGCCTCTCTTTTCCCTCCGAATTTTCTTGACGTGTGGAACTTGTTTGTCCAGAGGAGTTGGCAGGATATTGCTTGAAGCTTGTTAGAGGTAGAAGCCATAGGGGACCGCAGCCAACCCACCAGCCTAGGGCAGAGAAAGCTGCCTTGTGATATGAATGAGTATATCACAACATGAGTGCCTCTGGGGAAGATGCAGTGGGTGTAGCCCCTTCAAAAAGGGGGTGTTAAAGATCCCAGAGAATCTTTGCTCAGGCTCCCCTTTAGGCCGTCAACAAGGTCCCTTTAGTATATGTAGGTGGAGAATCCAGTCCTTGAGTCACTGGCACTATACCTATGCCTGTGCCTCTAATCATCTCTAGATCCTGGGCTAGAATGACCAAATGATGACAGTATAACCTAGTGGGAAAATTGATGATTAGATTGACAATCCACCAACACTGATTTATCTTCTCATAACCCTCCATTTTTTTTTTCATTTGAAGGATGAAGTTGTCAGTGCCCACCCCTGCCTCTCCTATTTGAGAGGCAGGAGTTCAATTCAGCTAAACTCAGATCCCTATATTAAGAGATCCCCAGAGAAGGGAAATTTGTTACCCAGGCTCAGTTACTAATCTCAGGGTTGCTAGGCCCACGTAATCTTCAATAGCAGATAAAATCTCTAATAGTGCTTAAGAATTAGTGCTATGTAAAACTGGAATGAGCAGTAGATTCTGCCTCACTGCAAGATGGAAAGTCAAAAGGGAATTCTTTTGGGGGTGGGGAATGGGGATGGGCTGGACTCTGAGGTCTGTTGCATCTCTGAAATTCTGGAACTCCTACCTGCCACAGTTTTCCTCTTCTTTAGCCTTCAACAGGCATGAACAGTCAATCCCTAGACTCTAGGTAACATGAACCATTCAGTCTATGTCTTATCTATACCATGCTTACAAGCAGGGATAGGGTAGGTACATGGGTAGAGGTCTATAGATCCTTGCTAGCCATTCCATCCCATCACCAAGATGTGTGATGAGTCACGTGGTTGGATAGAAGTGATCATATGTGATCATATACCAGTATGTGGTATAACAATAACATCTTCCATCCCTCTCTAAATTTTTAACTGCTTCCAAGAGCTTGGTGGTATGAATGGACATGTCCTGAAGTGCTTCTGTTCCCAACTATCCCCTGAAAAGCCAAGTTCAGAGGACGGGAGAGTTGGGAGTAATTAATAGAGGTGAAAAGTGTGGATTAAATATAAGGCCATTAGAGTACAATGGAAACAGGACTGGTTTGAGTGGAAGGGATTGGGTACAGCTCCCTGATCAATTATATTACTACCTATGAAAATTTGAGCAATTTTCTGGGCCTCAGTTTCCTCATTTATAAAATGAAATGATGAGACTAGAAAACTGCTGAGGACCCAGGTCCAAATCAATAATAATATCTACAAATAAGCGCTGGAATGGTAAAAATTAGTTCTTAAACTTAATGTATTGATTGTGGATTTAGTCGCTGATTATTTTACATATATCAGTTTAATGGATTTAGAAGAATTCAAGAATAGACTAGCCAGCTCCTTCCTGAGTATTTCCAAAGCTTTTTGAAATTGAAAAACATTGTAGGGGGGAGGTCAGTGTTTTGTTGGGAATTGCTTGTGCATATATAAATATTAGAGTAGGGGAGATGAGGTCTATTGAGTCCAGGCAAAAACCCACTTCTCACTCCTTAATTCCCACTTCACTCTTTACCTACCTGCTTCTTTATCCCTTTCTGTTCACAGTTGACCAAAGCATGTTTGAGAATTCTAACACAGCACCCACCCCAAAGCTGCAGCCAAGCCGTTCCTTCCCCCATCTGTCCAAGTCTACTGCCTCCAGCTCAACAGCCATGGGCCCCCTGGAGCCAAGTGGGCCAGGGCTCCGGGTAGGCAGCAGCCAGCACCTCAAGAACCTGGGGAAGGCTGTGGGAGCCAAGGTTAATGATTTCTTGCGGAGGAAAGAGCCAGCGAATCTCGGGAACGCTGCAGGAGTGATGGAGATCAACAAAAATGCAGGAGCTACACTGTCTGCTCAAGGTGATACTCCACCAGGAACCTGGCAAGAAGAAGAAAGGTGAGCTGCAGATTGATCCTGGACAGCCTTGTATTCCCACTGGTCAGCAGAGATGCTGTTAAATGCCTTCGTGCCCAGCTCTGTGTGAGGCAATACAAGGCA